TTACTTTTGGAAAAGGAAACCCCACATTTTTAGTAACGTGATATAATTTAAATTTCAAATTGTCAAAGTTTGAATGGAAGTTTGACGGTACAAAGAATGAAAGTTCAAGGAGTATGATATAAATTAAAAAGACTAGGGATCCATGAGCCAACGAGTAAGGCTTCTCAGATTTTTAGGGAAAAAATTTCCTAAACATTAAAAGTTAACAAATTTCTTTGAAATAAAAAATAACAAATTAAGCTCCCAATAACCTATTCCATCCGAAAAAATAATTTGGAAGCATTTTCAAGCAGCTTCCTTTGCTCCTTTCACCCAATAAGAAGATAAAGAGGGGAAAGCACTAAAAGCTCCCTACTCCCAAGTCATCTTCATGTCAAAACAAAAATTGGTACTTACAAGATCTAGTTCGACAGAAGTAACTAGGAAATTTAAGAGTATGTAGATTTAATAAGCCACCATTAGTTCTTATTTGTAGACCAAAATCTCCACGATGCCCAGATATGGACCCGGCTCAAGAATAGAAAGTTCTCTATGAAGTACTATTTTTTGGCTTTTTGAATAGAAATCACGTCTCAATTCATGTTGGAAGGCCACGTGTGTATATACAAATTCTTCTAACACATTTCCTTTTGTCTATTTGAGAAGTTGTTTGGATCTCAGATGGACAATCTCAATAGAAGGGGTTTCACATCACTTATCTGTATGTGAGACAATGAATCTCCTAACCATCTTCTTTAATGTTGTCATGAAGGGAGAAGAGTACGGGAATTGACTAATAGTCTTTTGGGTATCATTTGGATGATGAGTAGTTCTATTTGAGATGAGTTTTTTGCTTGGAATGGTATTCGTAGTCAAAAGTCAAACTTTGCATTTGTTCCTCATGCCATTATCTAAACTATTTGCATGAGAGGAATTGGAGAGTTTTTGAAGGGCTTTCTACTAATTTGTTAGCCTTATCGCTGATTGGTTCCAGACCTTAAGTATTTTGTTCAACGCCCATAGCCTCCTTGGTGATCTAATAGATGCCTTGCACTGTTCTTTGCTGCATCTTTGTATTTCTTAAGCTTTGGTCTATACATACATGGGAGGCAATCCCCTAGAGAGCCCCCTTTAATGCGTTCTTCTTATTCTTTCCTCTCAAAAAAAAGACAGATCTACTTCCAATGAAAGATTAAGGCCTACAAAGCCAGAGAAATTAGGTGAATTTCTAGATCTTAAATGATTTGTGACGATTACCTTTTTCCACATCAGTCAATAACCAAGGATTCTTATGACTCTAAGCATTGATGAAATAGTAGATTACAACTGTCATGTACTAACATCATGAAGTTTCTCAAAGCAAAATGCAGTCTCTTTCTATTACAACATGACAAGATTACACCTCGACGTTATACAATCCCATTTTAATTTGGCAAGCATCACTTGGTGCCACCCTGACCTTGGACAAATGTAAATTTTTTGTTCTGGTCATTTATTAACTTTTCTTGGCAATGGCATTTACCCATCTTTCAGTGCATTTATTTTTTTTTACATATATAGCAGCTTCCGCTGCATATCCCAAAAACAATCTTTTAACACTTATTCAGGATCTTACTAGTATATGACTGGAGAATTAGTTTCTCATGGTTAAATTTCTTTTTACTTGTTCCCAGAACTCCAAAAACTTAACTAGACATTAGCTTCTGAGAACCTCATGAATTCCTAGGAAACAGAAAAAATAAACCAAGAATAGGTGTTCAACAGCTGCCCAGTCATTATTGTGTTCCTTGAACTGGAACCTAGGCCCTTAACAAGATCTCGAGGTATATATCATATGCACAATTTATGAAGTGAACTAAGAACCTTCTTTGTAAAAACAGGAAAGTTCTTATACTTGCAGACACTTCCTTTTCCTAATATTTCCAGAATTCATTTTGAAAAACCCAAACTTCCATAAGATCCAGGCAAAAACAAAAATGAACACATAGAAAGGAAATGTACAACCCAAGGTGATCAAATGGAACCCACAAGTTGTAAAACCTAAGTACTTCTTTCCAAGTTGATCAAATTCCCAACTATCTGCAGTTATTTTCTTGCAAGGTGCTGTCAAGTTTACCCAGAACCCAATTTTAATTTCTCTTATGTAAACAGAAATCCCAATATGGTGGGTTTCAGTTTCTTTACCATTGGTTTTTAATCCAAAATATTCTTCCAGCGGTGCCTTAAGTTCAAACTTCATAAATCAATATAGCTTTCTATTGCATGAAAACCCTAGAACACATAGACAAGACAATAAACTATCAACAAGCAATCCCGAATGCCTAATCTCAATATACCCCACATAAAGAAAAAACCACATAATTATACAGTAAATTATGCAACATAAACATGAATTTGCATTCAAAACAAAACAGAGAACAATCAATAATAACCTGATCTCAGAAGAAATAGATGGCTTGGCATTGAAAAAGAACCGCCTTCGGTATAACTGTTTCTCAAAAACGAACACAAAGAAAGGAACTTTGAAGGTCTGTCAAAACCAAACAGTTGAGCAATATAGCAATGACAATATACCAAATCAAATGCCCAAACCAGGCATCCCTCTCTCTATCTCCCTCTGAATCTCTCAATGGGT